AGTCGCTTAACCAACTGAGCCACCCAGGCGCCCACCCTTAATATTTTCTAGATATGAGCACATCAGTATATGAGAACTCCTGATAGGCTTTGGAGTACTCCTCTCAGCACTAGACCATTCTCTTTCTGGATGTGTTCCTACCAGAGTAGGTATCATCTAAATGTTGCCTGGGCACCAGGGTCCCTAATTTCACTAGGAGAAGGCTCTGTATCATAGAGACTGTCCCATCTTCACTGAAGACTGGGAGGGGAAACCTGGCAACTCAGATGAGTCTAGGATGTCCTGGTTGGTGGCAACATCCACTGACAAGGAACTGTTCTCTCTCTTCCTCTCCTCATGAAGACCTGTGAAATTTGACTTTGAAGCAAAGTTAAGGGAGATAGTGGGGAAGGAAGCAAATGCACATCTCTCCTGCGGTATTCTTGGCAGTTAGAGCCATTAAACAAAGATTATCTCCAAATTGAACTTGAAATTACTAAGGTATTTCTCAAGGAATTCCTCAGTTGTAAGAGGAAATTACTCTATTTGCACCAGTCCTTCCAGTTCTTCCCTTCACGAACGACTTTCCCAACTTCTCATGGTTCCTTTGCACCTTCATCAGAAGCTAGGTGAGGAAAAGGTAGATCAGTATGTTTTCCTACCCAAATGGACTAATGGTGGTAAGAGAGTTGTTGAAGTTTAAATTTAATTCTATTTTTTGACTGTTTCAGTGTTCTCCTTCTCTTGGGAGAATGACTTTGAGCTGGGAATTCAGCAACCAGAAAGGTGCAGACCAGAAATGAATCCATATAACTAGAGCTGTAGGGTGAGGCAGGAATTCTTCACCTGGGCTCAGGAACTTCCAGACTTGTGTGTACGGCGTGTGTGTGTGTGTGCATGTGCGTGCGTGCACACATGCACACGCACACCCGTGGGGGGGCGGGGGGGGAGCTGGATGCAAAAGTTCATGATAGATTTCTCAAAGAGGTCTTCCCCAGTAAAGAGGGAGTTCTGCCAGTGTCCACCAGCCAAATTTCCTTATTCTTTAGGGCTCTAGCTCTATGCACATAACTGATCACAGTAGCTCCTCTCTGCTCCTCTGAACTGTCAGAAGTATTCAGAAATAGTTTTGGGTTGGTTTTAATAATAGTTTACATGCCCTTCAAATCCTGGGCATCCCTCGTTTAAAACAGGTCTTATAAGTGGAACATTGTTTTTTATTATCAACTCTGTTAGATACTCAAGCTCCAGTGATTCCATATTGGCGCCTGCCTGGTTTGGGCATCATTGTCTACCTGTTGAAACAGAGTGCTAATGATTTCTTCAGCTATTACGACAGCCATCGACGGAGTGTCAACAAGCTACAGAATGTAGAGCAACTTCCACCAGATGAGATCAAAGAGGTATGAATTTTATAATGAGCTGTGGAGATATTTGAGAAGCCGTTGCTTTTCCTAATAAGGGTCACAGTACTGGTGTCCGATTTGTGAGTAAAGTTGATGTATGCAGTGAGATGAAAGGGCTTGAAATGACTGCTCTGTGTGGCTTGAAGAAGAGTCCCCCGCTGGAGCGGCACACCTGGTAAGCAGGGGAACTCTTGCATGGAAGACAGGGAAGTCGCACCTGTTCGGGAACACCGCCTGCCCTTCAGTAGAATGGCAGCTGGCTTCCAAAGAAGGGTTTTGGTAATTTATACTCTAAAATCTGTGCTAAGAAACTTGGGTTTCAATTGCAGAGGCTAGTTCAATAGAAGTGATCCCTTAAGTTAAGATGTCTCTGTGCCTTCAGCATCTTCAGTATCTGTTGGGTGAATTTTTCAGACAAATGGGATGGCTCTCAGTGACCCAGAATCACTCGCTGCTGTTTATTGTAGCTAACGATGCTGAGTTGCTAGGCTTGCTTCCTCAGTAGCTGCCTTTCCCATTTGGCACAGCTGAACGGCACGAGGACTCCCTTGGCCCATGCTGAAGCTTCCTGGTGGCCTGGGGCGGCCCGAATGTAGAACATGTTGCCATTCCTCGTTTGCACCAACTGTCCTGAAAAACTCCATGTCACTCTTCAGAGTAGTCAAAGCTCCCTCTTGCCACTCTTCTAGTAATCACAGGGAACGTGTAGTGGGTGGTGACAATGTGCCAGGCCCTGAGCTACAAGTTCTGTCTCAGTACATTAGGCAGATGTTGCTATGCCTGTTTTCTCAGATGAGGAAATCGAGGCCCTGGAAGTTTGGATAACTTACCCAAAGCCACACAGGTAGCAAGTCCCGAGACAGGAGTAACTGATGGGGTTCAGGTAATCCCTGAGATTGGGCGGTTTACCTCTGGCAGCCCTTCCCCCTCATGTGTAGCTTATGGGCAACACCAGTACTTGCAAGAGGGATGCAGCCTTCCCGTCAAGGACGTGGTGCTCTCCCAGCCCCACTTCAGGGTGCCTTCTGCCAAAGCCAGCAGCTGAATTTTGAGTTGGCCCACTGTGCTTATGCCGAGCAGAGGTGTGATGAAGGGAGTTCTGGGTTGATGAGCCTATTTTAGTTTCTGCTGTAGAAATCTGCTTTACATTTTCTTCAGAAGATACGTGATGGCTGTTACAGAAATTCTCCATGGCACTGTTAAACCTACGGCTTGAAAAACCTACTGTTGTGTTTTGTTTTAGTTTGACAGGAAATTGAGGGTTGGTTGGCCCCTCAGCAGATTGGAAACGTCTGTTTCAGAGATAAGACCTTTTCCAGAAAGCAGCAGATGAATCTTCATTTGTGAATTCGACTACTTTGGCTCTCAGTTTTTTAGTTACCGGCTTCCTAACTAGATAATAACTCTTGTCTGCAAGGATGTTTAAACTTCTTTGAATGTTTTTCGCAGTGCCTATCATAGTGACCCTCTCTGTAGATTTTCATGAAGTTTCTGTTAGAGTTTATGTCATCGCTAATACTGTGTTTGTTTCTGGTCCTCAGTTGTGCCAGTCTGTGATGCCTGTTGGTGTTGAGAAAATCTCCACTGCCCAGAAATATGTTCTAGCAAGACGGCGTTTGGTGAAGTTGATCAACAATCGAGCCAAACTCCTTTCCCTTTGTTCTTGTATCCTTAATGGAAATCACAGTGGGAACTTGAATGGTGACCTTTAAGAGAATCTTTAAATGTAGGAACTGTTTATTGATTGTCACATTATTTGGGCATCAAAACTGTATGAAAAGGGACATAATTTTTTTTCCAGTAAATGCCTGATCTGTTTCCAAACTGAAATTTTTTTTCTTCTCTTTTAGATTTAGCTAGTAATCCTGATAATGTATACAGTCACTGTCTGGACAGGAGGCAGGGACATAGCACCCCCCGGTCCCCACCTCCTTCCTCTCAACACACCTTGCTGGTTTCTGGGGGGACACCTTCAGTGGAACCTTTCCCCTCGCTATTAGACCGAGGCCGTGGGTACATCACGAAGTAGTGCGGTCTCTCCTTTGTTTTCCTCCTCAGAAACTGGTTTGATGAGATTGTTTTCCTTTAGTCCGAGCTCTCTGTAGTTATCATAGAGACCTGCCTATTTATTCTTTGGCGCCATCTGGAGTACTACTTGCTACACTGCACGCCCACGGATTCTCAGGATTCCTTGTTTGCCTCCAGAACCTTATTTAAAAGCAGAAGACTACAAGGTAAACTTTATTCTGAAAATTAGCGAACCATACATATACCTACAGATTGCAGTGCCTTGAAAAACTAGTTACACTTTTATTTATTTTTTGTGTTTCCGGGTTACTAAGAGTGGATTGGGCAATCTAGAGCTACTTAGTTAGTAGACATAGCTGTTTCTTATAGTTTACTTCTATTCATGGGAGACTGTGTGGAGCATAAGAACATCTTAGACCCCGCTCTTCAGCTTCTTGCAGCTAAGGGCTGGCCAGCTCCAGAGTCCCCTGGTCTTCAGGTTCTTCCACCGTATGATAGATACGTACTTGTAAAGCTGGTTTGTTTGTGTCTTTTGTTGCCAGATTCCTTCACTCCAGAAACCAACCTGGATTTTAGAAGTGGACTGACTGGAGTGAGCCAACATGACATAGACCAGGTTAGGGTCTCTTCTCATACTCTTTTTCTTTTTTGAAAGGAAAAAGGAAAAGCCTAGTATGTTAGTATGATGATGATTTTCAGGATTGTGTGCAAAGACCTGATTTTGATTCTGACCTGGCCGCCTAACAGCTCTGGGACTTTGAACAACTTACTTTCGATCCTCCGTTTCCTCACCGAAGAAGTGGGAATGATAGTTGAGGCTCAAGGAGTTTTCTCAGAGTGAAATGAGGTCTCGTATGTGAGGCTTCTAGGGCAGTAGTGCCTGGAAGGGACATAGTGAGAGTTCAGTCATCAGTAGGCATCGTGATCCGGAAACTCCCAATTTCTTTAGATTAACTTTGTGGACTTCTTAGGCACAAAGTGTCACTTAGCACTTAATTTTTTAGAAAATAATTTAATGGAGAGATTGTGAGCAGCCATTAAAAATTCCATTGTAGGAGACTATGATATGATACAGTATTATGTATTAAGAACCTCTTGACCAATAATATTGGAATGGAATAAGAGCATTCCAAAAACAACTAACGTAAAAACCTCACATGAACCTAATAGGAGTCTTGGGAACAAAGCAGTTAGCAGGGTACGTGATGTTAGATAAATGGAATTACAACTAGATCTGCTGCTAGGCATCTGAGTGTCCCTAGCCCTGGTTTGATAAAGCCTCTGCTCTTCCCTAATCCCTCTTGGTCACTGCCTTTCTTGATGGTGAAGGTTGGGCTTTATCCAGGAAAGAGCATCCTCCAGACCATACTTAACCAGACGTCATACATAGCGTGCTCTCATCCTAGCCCTGACTACATCTGCCCTTTAAGTGACTTCATAATAGTAATTCATGTTTTGGTTAGGCTTGTTTAGGGAAGCCAGTATTTAGTGAGGCCATGGGCAGAATTAGCCAAAGAATAGTTCTTCCAGAAGATGTTTGATAAATATGTGTTGAATTAATGACTATTTCTGTTTCATTAGATTACTCTGTTATAGTTAGAAGAAATGCAGGATTAATAAATAATCTTCTCACTCTGTGCTTTGATTTTATTGCAAAACTGAAGGCAGGTAGAGTCATCTAATTTTACACTTAATTTTAGTGTTTCAGTATAATACCAATAGAATCCATCCAAAACTACATATGAATTCTAAATTACATGAATTCTAAAATGTGTACCAGGTTCCTTTCCTCTGCTTATATATTTTGAAAATAAATGCATGCAAATATTTTTTTTTTTAATTGAAAAATCAAATAAAAGTAAAAGCTTCTTTCCAACTTACCCTTTGTTTCTTTTCCCCAGTGGCACCCACTCCTAACAGCTTCTTGTATTGCCCTTCGGAAATGTTTTTGTGTATATGCCCATATATCAACAGCAGCATCGTAGTTGTTGCTATTTAAGATTTTACACTTTTATACGGACCGGAAAGGGAAAAACAATTCTGTACCGATAAATTCTAGCATGGAAATGTGAATGTTTAGTTACTTTGCTACATGAGAAAGGACCACATTACAAAAATTCAAAGGTATTTTAAATTGGAAGACATAGAATAAAAAAATATTTGAGACTGTAATTTTAATAATGACATGTCATCTGTGTTTCCTCTAGCTTCAGGCTGACGCCATCAGCGCTTTTGGAGAATCACTACAGAAGAAACTTCTGGACATTGAAGGATTATACTCAAAAGTTCGATCTCGCTATAGTTTCATACAAGCTCTTGTCAGACGTATCCGAGGACTGCTGAGAATATCCAGGAACTGAGAGCCTGTGCTTACGCTCTTCTAGGGAAGAGATGAATTGGGGAGAACTGTCCCCTTTTTATAGATCAGTTTGTTTCTAAATTATGACCAAAAAATATTTTGCTATTTCTTTCTTTATATATGGACATCTTTTCTGTAAATTTCTTTGCCTGGTTCCAACCTCACTAGTAAAAAAAAATAAATACTTTTTAAAAAAAGAAACAAAACAAACGTATGGTTAGTCTTTTGAAATTTTACCTAGAAAATGATCAACATTAATGGGAATCCAACAAATAAAATTCCCACAGTGGTGGTTTTCCCCTAGGGATATAATTCTGAATGTTACATTAAAGGCATAGTCTGAAAATTCTAATGTTTTATCCCTTTGTCGTCTACATTACACTTCTGTGATATTCAGGGTTACTCCATGGGGTAGAACGGACAACAAACTATAGCTATGCTCTTTAACAGAATAGTGTGCTCAGTACTGTGAATGTATTACAGAAAAGTCCCAAGAAATGAAGCCATCTCTTCCCTAAAATTGTTTTTTTCTTTTCTGCATATAAATGATAGTATAATAATTTGCATTTGTTCCTTAGAAATGATTGTGAAATTTCCCAAACTAATCACCTGTAATTAATATGATGGCTGTGATTAGGGCAAAAGAACGTATACAATCACCACTCTACTTCTTGCCCAGTTGTACTTACGTTCAAGTGACTACATCATCTCAAAGTCCATTTTTCCCTTTCCAGCCACCAATTATTTCAGCCTAATATATAGGAGAGACTGCAGAAAGAGTCTTGACTCATGCAGTAGCAGAAAAGTTATACTTAGTTATACAGTGTTGCTCTTTAAAAAATTTTTATATCATTTGCATGGCTTTTTAGCATCTTTTTTAAAAGTGCTTTGTCATTGTTATATTTTGAAGTTAATTTACTGCCCACCACTTAGAAACATTAGTCTTTAGCTGAAAAGCATCCTGCTAATAAATAGAAGTCTCAGGGGAGTGTGAATGTGTGAATAAGTGGGTACACCATGGAGTAGCAACTGCAGCTCTCCCCCACCCCCACTCACTACAGTCAGGCCTCTGGTGACATCAGAACACAGGCAGGAGCCCAGGAAGAATCAGAAAGGAGCCTGGGGCACAGAATCAAAGCATTTTGTAGACCTTGGGAGTGTGAAGCTAAATTGAAAATGAAGATTTTTAGATTTACTAAACTTTGTTTTCCTGTTTTCCCATCATTTCTTCCAAAACTCCAGCAGACTGGATCGGAAGTTGGACACTGGAGAACGTGTGGGGAGGGAAGGCAGGAAGGATTGCAGCTGCAGGTGTGCTGCTTAGAAGGCTGACCAGGAATGCGATTTGTATAATAAAGTCGGAGGGAGAAGCTAACAGTCTTGGGGGCTGCAGAGGACGCACTGCCTGACTCAGCATGGTTACCTGGGGTGTGGAGAGGGGCTGTTGTGCTCTGCAGCAAAGCAAAGGGGATCAAACACTGTAGAACTTTCATTTTAAAAAGGTTTAGCGTTTAAAGGGAAGGTTCGTCTAGTCCTAAAAACTGCTAAATAAGCGTAGGATCTTAAAGCATTGTTTTTACTGAGTTAATCTGGTGGGATTAGAAAAAAAGAGGTGAGTACCTTCTTTATTACTGTAGTCTTCATAAAGTAGTGTTGCATGAGTATATAAGTCTGAACTTTATCTGAGCTATAAAAGCTGTTCATACACAATTGAATCTTTTCTAAATATTTGTCTGTTTTCCCAAGTTAATTTGAAAAATGTTAACTCTTCACAAGAGTTGAAAGGAAAGTACAGTGAACCTATATTCTTTAACCTAGCTTCACCAACTGTTAACATTTTGCACATTTGCTTCATCTTTTTTTCCCTTAACTGTCTGAAAGTAGGTTGTAGACATCGTGACACTTTATCCATATATTTCAGCAAGTATTTCCCTCCAAATCATAATACCATTATTGCACTTAAGACATTTGCTAATAAAATGCAATAAAGAATTTTCTAATATTCAGTCTGTATTCAAATTTCAATTGCCCCCCAAAATGTACTTCTAGAACTTTTATGTTTTTACCCAGAATTAAACCAAGAATCCACATTACATTTAGTTCTGTCATGTTCCCTTCATTCAGAAGCGGTTCCCCTCCCTTTTCAGGGGAGGTGTCTAACCTGACACTTTTAAGCTATTTTGTAAAAGGTCCCACAGTTTTTGTTTTTTAATTCAGGTTAAACATTTTTGGCAAGAATACTACAATTCTATGGGTGATATGCCTTCAGCATATCGTATCAGGAGGTACATATCAGTTTGTGCCATTATTTTAAGCTTGCTCAATTGAGGTAGTGCTTGACACACCTCTCCATTGCAATGAATAATCTATAGGTTGATATGTCAAGACTGTGAATTTATGTTTCCAAAAACCTTTTCAGCCATTGCTTTTTATCATGTGTTCAAATTTGACAATTTGTGTATGGCTTCAATCATACAAATAATATAATCAATATAATAAATGTGCAGATACCCACTCTATCCTCATGTCATATACTTAATTTGATCAAATCTTTAAATTAACCATCTTTGCTCCAGAATTATTTTTTTAAGGAAATCTATGGTACATACATTTGGGGCTCCTGTGAACTCCCTGATCCCATTCCCCTACTTCCCTCCCAGATACAAGCTTTGTCAAGAATTCATTGTTGAATTTGCCATTCATGTTTTGTGCTTCCACTACATATGTGTGTGTACATAAGCATTAAAAAGGATTGTTTTACAGGGGTTTTTTTTTGTTTTTTTTTTTAAGTTTTTAATTCCAGTTAACAGAGCATGTTACATAGTTTCAGGGATATAGTATAGTGATTCAGCACTTCCATACATCACTTGGTGCTCATCACAAGTGCACTCCTTAATCCCCATCACCCATTTAACCTATCCCTAGTTTTACAGGTTGTTAGTCTTTATATGTGTGTTGTCATACTATGGAACAATTTGCAGTTTGCTTTTTTTTGGTTCAACATTGTGTTTTTAATAATTCCTCATACTCATTTATTATAAATATTGAATGGTAGTTACTGCATTTTACAAATACCCTAATTTATGCATTCTATTGTTGGTGGACCGGCATACATTTAAATTCCCAGTATTTTACTATTACAAACAGTGCTGCAATGATTATCACACGTGTCTCGTTGGATAAGACATAGGACGTGTAAGAAGGCCTCTCTGGATTACATAACTAGAAGTGGAAATCCTGAGATGGAGATTAAGAATTTTAAATTTCACTAGACATTGCAGTATTTTTCTCAGTGGTTCCTCCAATTTACTCCCACCCATGGGGTGAGAGTTCCTGTTTGTTCATACCATTAGTAACAGTTCCAGTTGTCATACTTTTTTCCCCAATGACTTAATTTTTTTAGAGCAGTTCTAAGTTTACAGCAAAATTGAGAGGAAGATTCAGAGATTTCCCATATACCTGCTGCTCCCACACATGCATAGTCTCCCCTCCCCCATTATCAATACCACTCACCAGAATGGTATGTTTTTACCAGAGATGATCCTACATTAACACATCATAATCGCCCAAAGCCCTAGGGTTCACTCTTGGTGTGTATTCTTTGGGTTTGGACAAATGTATGACATATATCCATCCCTATAATATACAGAGTATTTTCACTGCCCTAAAAACCTTCTGCACTCTGCCTGTTCATTTCTCCATTCCTGCTTACCCCCCACCCTCGTAACCAATTATCTTTTTATTGTCTCCATAGGTTTGCCTTTTCCAGAATGTCATGGACTTGGAATCATACAGTACGTAGGCTTTTCAGATTAGCTTCTTTCACTTAGTAATATGCATTTAAGCTTCCTCCAGTTCTTTTCATGGCTTGATAACTTTTTTTTTTTAAAGCACTGATTTCTAGTCCATTGTCTGGATGTACCACAGTTTTTTAATCCACTTACCTACTGAAGGGCATCTTGGTTGTTTCCATAGATTGAAGTTCAGATTTCTTGAGGTTTAGACCAGCTAGAAAGGGAGTGAAGCCAGAGGGGAGCTCACAGCTTGTAAGAATATGGAACAGCTGAGACTGGAGATCTGGCTAAGATCGAAGAATTGGTAAAATAGGAAATAAGATTTGTGACTATAATAATTCAAAGGTGGAGCAGGTCCAGTAGATAATAAAGTAGGGGTTATGAACATGGCGGTAGATTGCTGAAGTGGTGTGAGGATGAAGGTCACTGGAGGTAAGGAGTCTGGAAAATACAAGTATATGTGGCCTTGGAAATCACCCATGATCATGATAGCTTGGCAAGGCTGAAAGGAAGGCTGTTAGATGCTAAAGCCTTTGGTGAATGAGGGGACCACCTGGGAAGTCAATAGATGAAGGGATCATGAAGGGATAAGGGGAAGGCATGAATCTTGAAGTGTTTTCATCAGAGGACATTTAAGTAATAATCTCAAAGTAGCAAAAAGAATTCTGCCCTTTTCCCCCTCTCCTTGTGGTTATTTGGGGGTATAAGAGAAAGAACCTTTGAAAAGACCTTAGAGGAAAAGGCTTCCTTTCAGGATTTATCTGTGAGAAGGGGATGAGGTTTTATGCAAGGATCTTCAATAAATCCTGTGTTCAGAGCCTGTGCCAAGCACTTGATGGGCACTGAGGATGGAGTCATGAACGGAATGAAATCCTCATCTTCGTGGAGCTCACAGTATGGTGTCTTGCAGCTCAAAATGTTTCAGAGGCCACTGGTAGCAGCATCACTTGGGAGCTAGGTAGAAATGCATGTCTGGCCCAACTCAGATGTACTGAATCAGAATCTGCAGTTTAACAAGATTTCCAGGTGATTTGAATGCACATTAGAATTTAAGGAGCACTGGTCAAGATTTGCCTGAGTCTTGTTTTAATCTAGATATGTTGGAAATTGAAGTGTGTTATAGCCATCTACCAGCATCTCTCTCTTGGCAGTCACTTTAGTTCAAAGAGATCCCACTCCTCTGGTTATAATTGATGAGAGAGCACCCAACACTAACTTGACCAACAGCATTCCTTTCCCAGGTATTTGAAAATGGTAGGGAAAGAGTGATCCAGTTTTTCTATTGTTGGATCATTTAATGAGTAAACTCCAGTAACAATGGTCATATTCTGGAAGGCAGAAAAAAACAAAAGTCAAAATGAGAGGGCAATGAAGCAGATGTATGGAGAAAAGCAGAAATGGAGAGAAAATGCTTAATTCTGGACACCTTTCCCATTCCCCATCGTTGTCCACCTTATCTCCATAACACACTCCCATATGGTTTAAGCTATTATGATTTGGTTTTTATGGTTTGGAACTAGAGTTCTACTTAATATAACAGATAATGGGTGAATTCAGAAGGCAGAGAGCAAAGTGGTCTTGCTTTGGAAGCGTGTGTTAATGGAGGTTGTTCAAGGTTTTGAAGACCAGGAGCAGGAGGTGGCCCATAGTATGATTGGGTAGCTCTGTGTGGAGACAGGATGAGAAGAGGTCTTCTAGAGCTCACTGTCCACCCCAGACACATGACAAGCATTTATTGATCCCTCACGTTGTCTCATTTGATTCACATAACAGTTCAACGGGGAGCTGGAATTAGCCCCATTTACAGAGAAGGAAAGCGAACTTGAGAGAGGTTAAGTAGCCAGGAAGTGAAGGCAGTCATGAATTGGACGCGGCTGTGCCAGACTCCAAAGGCCTCTAGCTTAACCACTTAAGTACCTAGCCTCTATCAAAAGTGCTCATTGCAGGTTACATAGCACACCTGTGGCACTTTTGAAACGTACAGCTCTCCTCACCTCCCACAGATTCTGCGTGGGATCTGGGTAGATTATGTTGCAAAAGCGCCACGGATGATTCTGCTTTGCACCTAGGTACGGGATCCGCTGCCTCCTGCAGACCTTCTAGGTGAGGGAGTCCTAAGTCTGGCTCTGCATCAGAATCGCTGGGGCGCTGGTAGTAATCTAGATCCCCGGCCCGACCCAGGTTTACAGAAGCGGGATTTGGAGACTGGCGTCCTGGATTCTGAATGATCAAATCCGTCCAGCCAGACCTGCCTGGGACTTGAGGCTGCCCTGGGCGCGGGCCTTCTCCCCAGTCCAGGCGGTAATTCCGGGGCGCTCCGCCAGTGGGCGGCGGAGCGCCGCGAGCGGCTCGGGGCGAGGCGAGGCGAGGCGAGGCGCGGAGGGAGGCGCGGGCGGGGCCGGGCGTGACCCGGAAGCCCACGGAGGGTTCCGCCCCTCGCTCGGGGAGAGGCAGGCTCGGACCTGCCCACCGAGCTGCCGCCGCCCTTCGCGCCCTCCTCGCCCTCCTCGCCGACGCCATGCTCCAGTTCCTGGTGAGGGGAGCTGCCCAGGAGGGGCCAGGGGTGGGTCCGAGGCCTGTCCAGCCGGCCTAGGGCCGGGTTTCGGGGGGTCTGGGCGTGTGTGCGGATCCCCGCGGCGCCCGCTCGTCGCCTGTCGGGGTGGGCTGCGGGGTTTGGTGTCTGCCGGGCCCAAGCCCCGTGGCCATTACTGGTGCAGTCGCCCGAGTCCCTCAGACCTGGAGGTGTCAGCGGGCATTTTCACAGCCACTTCTGTGCCGTCCTGGCGGGCACTGGGTGATCCTCGTGTTAAGGCTGTTGGGGCCCCTAATGGCTTGTAGGCTCCGCTCTTCTGCCCCCACACCCCACCCGGCCCTGCTGGTAGGTTTTCTGGGAACGTGGCAGGGCCGGGAGGGCCGGCAGCGAACTCTTAAGTTAGTGAGCCACCTCGCGAGGCGCGGACGCACAAGGGCAGAGTTGGAGGCTTCGCGGAGCCCTCGTCAGGCCTTTTATAGCTTCCAGACTTTGAGGATGGCTGGTTGCTGGCATGAGTCAGACCCCGGTGTGCACGGAACTCCTCCAGAGGGCTCATTCTGGGGGGAAATGAGTGTTACTGTGAGTAAATAAATTCTATGCCATGGCTCTTTATTTCGGTTAAAAACTGGCTTTCTGGCACAGCCGAGTGTATTTCAAAGGTTGCCTGGTGAAGGTTCCCGGAGGCCTCGCCAGACATTTCCAAGTCCGAGTCTTTCTTTCTTCCAAGTGTTTGTGCCTTCTGAACTTCATTCTGATTAAGAGGCAGGTGACCGTTCCAGTTATCTTCCAGGTGGCCAAATGGAGTGCTCTGGGGAGGAGATGCCCTCCGGAATGTTACCTACTTTATCAAAGAGAATTTTTTAAAGTGCCCCCTTTGTCTTTTTTGAGGTGGTAATTGATTTTTTAAATCCTTAGGAGGAAAGAGGTATCCTTGACATAAATTGCCCAACAAAGACAGGGCTGTTCCTTTGCCTCTGGAAGTTTTCTCCAGTGTCCTACCTAGGAGTCAATAGAAATAATTACTGCCTTTTAGTTGTAGGAAACACTCAGGTTAAAAACAGTATCAGCCTGGGGGCGCCTGGCTGGCTCAGTCGTTAAGCGCCTGCCTTCGGCTCAGGTCATGATCCCAGGGTCCTGGGATCAAGCCCCACATCGGGCTCCCTGCGCGGTGGGAAGCCTGCTTCTCCCCTCTCCCACTCCCCCTGCTTGTGTTCCCTCTCTCGCTGTGTCAAATAAATAAATAAATAAAACAAAAACAAAAAAACATCAGCCCCAAAGTGTAAGATGATAGCACTGAGCCTAATACAGCTGTAGCTCATGGACAGACTGAGAGGACGTTGATTAATTTTTTCTTTTTTTAAGATCTAAGGTTGCTTTTTTTTTTTTTTTTAAGATTTAAGGTTACTTATCTATTGCTTTCATTGTTCATATCTCTGTGGATTAAAATATTTGCCCATCATCCCGGTCTCAGAAACTTGTTCCTGTGGTCCTGCTGCCCTTTGCTTTTACTGCAGAGGCTTCCTTAAGGTTTCGCTACAGTTGTTTTAAGGAAACTTTGGAAGCTTTTGAGGCGAAGCCTGACAGGATGGGAGCTCTGTGCACACGGCCTGTCAGACCGTTACTGGCACCAGCTATTGCTCTTGGTACCCTTAAGCACAACCTCCTTAATCCCTCCTCCCTTGGCTTTTGGATCGTTTGTGTCTGTATTTTCTGACATTCTTTAACATAACACACATGGATTTATCTTTACAGAAGAACCTGTGAAGGTGACTGGCTCGGGTGCTGGCCCCTCCAAGGGCTGAGGGGATCAGTATCTTGGTGCGGCAGCTGGGAAGGGGCCCTATCTAATCGCGCCTGTTAGTGCTGGCTGCTTTTCCCTTCTTTTGGTTACTAGGTTTTTCTCAGGGCATAGTCCTTGACACTCAGCTCTTTTCTTCAAACCCACCCTCAGGGACTGTGTTCCTTGCCATGCTGTCACCTTTCTCTGCTGCTGCTTCCAAGACTACCTTGCGTCCCTTTTTCTGAGTTCCAGTTGGCTGTCCTCTCTTGTCCACTGAACATCTCTCGTCATCCCCTCTATCTCAGATCCAACACGTCTGGACCCATTACCTCTTCTGTTCCCCACCCTGCAACGCACGCCTCACACCTAACTTCTTTCTCTGTTCTCCAGTCCTGGCTGTCTCAAATTTGAAATACTGACATAATCCTTGATTTATTTCTCTCCTTCATTCTCCATATCATTTAGCTGCTATGCCTAGCACATATATTTCCCTGCGTGCTCTTGGGCAAGTTACTTATCTGCTCTGTGCCTCAGTTTCCCCAACATAAACTGGGCAATAATAGTACCTGCTTAAAAGGCTGCTTATAAGGCTTTGAAATTAATTCATGAAAAAGAGAACGCTATCTTGCACACAGCACTCTGAATGTTAGCTCTTGTGTTAAGCCATGGGGTCTTCATTACTCAACTTATGAAAGTTCCATCTTTATGTTCCTACTGCCAGGTTTGTAGAGTAGGGGTCTTTTACTCCACCGTTGCACTAGCTACACCAGCTTAGCTGGTATAGGAATGTGGGTTTTGAATTGGAAGAGTTGTTTTAGGTTCTGGAGTTCAGCTAACATGCTGACACGTCAGTTTCCACTACTAAGGGGGTCTCCGGCTTATGTTTCATCACCTCCCATTAAAATAGGCTCTCTACTTTCTCAGATGATCTATATCATTTTTGGTCAGTGTCTCCCTAACTAGTTCTTGGTGTTAAAGAGCAGTGTTTTTTTTTTGTTTTTTTTTTTAAGATTTTATTTATTTATTTGACAGAGAGACACACAGTGAGAGAGGGAACACAAGTAGGAGGAGTGGGAGAGGGAGAAGCAGGCTTCCCGCTGAGCAGGGAGCCCAATGCGGGGGCTCGATCCCAGGACCCTGGGATCATGACCTGAGCCAAAGACATGCTTAACAACTGAGCCACCCAGGCCACCCCTAAAGAGCAGTTCTAATCCATGTGACAATCCTTTACATATTTGAAGAGCATTATCTTGGTACCTCTCTCTATCTCCCTGACCCCGTCTAGTCTTTTCTTTAGACGAAACATCTCTGATTCTTCCGTCCATTCCGTCCATTCTTTATGGTTTCAGGTTCATGCTGGTTAGCCTATTCCCTGAATATTCTAGTTTTTCAGTCTTTCTTTTTTTTTGAAACATGGCACTCCTGCTCCAGTCTGATCAGCCATAAAAAAGTAAGGCTGTCTTCTCTAGTTCTAGGTTTCCCTTGACGCCCTTGGTGTTCTGTCCACTCTTGCAGCTGCCAGAGTAACCATCCAGTATTAATTGTCTTATTCACATAATCAGAAACTGTCAATGGTCTTTATGTCCCTGCACATCAGATAGTAACCACTTGCACATCAGATTTTCAAGATTTGCTCATCTGACTCCATTTTCCCTTACTACTGCCTTTCAACATACCTCCTCTGTTTTAGATTGACTAGGCTATCCTACCGATCTGGACCACCTATGGACCTGGACCACCTATGGACCTTCCTGCCTTCAGACCTTCCCATCTAGTTTTCCCTTTGTCCTCTTTTTTTTTTTTTTTTTTTTT